CACACACAGACCCCATATCCAGGTGTCAGAGACACTCATAGAGGTATATTATATGCTTTTCCCCTTTAAAAACACCCTCTTGCTTCTCAACACATATGGTACAAGTCTACACTCATTTGCTCCAATGCCAACTGCAAACCAGTGCTGTCCAGTAGAACCATGTGCGATGATGAAGAGTCTATTATGTGCTGTCCATGTGGCTGTTGAGCACCTGAAATGTGACTATGTGACCAGGGAATTGCATTTTAAATTTTACTTATTAAGTTAAATTTAAGTGCCGCATGTGGCTAGTGTTTACTGTACTGGACAGTGCAGACATTGAACATTTCCATCATTGAGGAAAGTTCTTTTGGACAGCATTATTCCTCCAGAAACCAGTCCTGAGAAAGGTCTTGGAATTCATTCGGAAGAGTAAGGGATTGGGAAAGGGAGAAAGAAAACAAAGGCAGCCAGAAAAGGCTGTGTTGTTGAGCGCCTCTGCTCTGGGGGCCACTGGCGCTGAGTCATGCTGGAGAACTCTGGGAACCGGAGTTTCAGCATGTACCTCAGAATCATCCCACCCAAGAGGTGAAGGAGTTGGTATATTTCTGTACTAATTCCGCCAATCATTGATTGAGGGTTGCCCCAGGGGCTGTGGCTTCTCAGCACTTTTAACTTCAAGCAGAGTTGCAGAAGAAAATGGTTGGAGTTGTCAGGGCTTCAGTACATGGGTCACCCACGGTGCTTGCCTGTCCAGGCACAGCCATGATGTTTCATGTGCATCCTTGGAGACATTTTTGCACACATAAGTATAAATGCATATGTGTAAATAGATGTATTTTTTCCATTTATCCAAATGGGCTTATTCCATATATAATCTTCTGCCCATTGCTTTTTTGTTTTTTGTTTTGTTTTCATTGAGACAGGGTCTCTGTTGCCCAGGCTGGAGTGCATTGGTGTCATCATGGCTCACTGTAGCCTCTACTTCCTGGCCTCAAGCCATCCCCCTGCCTCAGCTTCCTAAGTAGTTGGGTCTACAGGCATGTGCCAACATGCCTAGCTAATTTATTATCTTTTTTAGAGATGGTGTCTCACTATGTTGCCCGGTCTGGTCTCAAACTCCTGGGCTCAAGCAATCCTTCCTCCTTGGCCCACCAAAGTGCTGGAATTACAGGTATGAGTCACTGCACCTCGCCTGCACTTTGCTTTTTGCACTTAATAATATACTTTGGAGATTCTCCATTGGAGTCATTTATTTAATTCCTTTTCTTGGCTGTCCTTATTACAAACAAGTTCAGACTGAAAGAGAAAAGAGCTGCAACGGCTTGGCTGAAAGAATGCAAAGAGACTTGTGTTTAGCTCATGGATTTAAAAGGCAAGCTGTTTGTTGAGATTGCAGAGTTTGGTTTAAGGCATTTTGGGATGGTGTGATTTTCCTGTTAAAAACAAATGAGAATTTGCTTGGTGATAAACTCAAGCAGTGTGTGGGCTGATTAGACAATGGAACATGCAATAAATGTATTAACCTCCTAGGATGACTGCAGTAGCAGATGGCAGCTGTCTCCGTGGTGGGACATCCTCAGCTTGTCCTGAACAGAGGTGTCAGAATCCCAGGTTGGGGACCTAACTCTGCTGTTGACTTGTGTTGTTTTTGAAGCCTCTTGGACTTCCAGGGCCTCTGTTTTCTTGTCTGTTAGGGGAGGATGCTAATGACTGTTCTGCCTCTTCTCAATGGGTTTGATGTGTAGACAGGCCAGTGTTGCAAATCCAAATGTCTTCAGGGCCATGCAGGCAAGTAAATGAGTCAATTGAGGCTGTTGTAAGTAATAGGGAGTAGTGGGGACTATAGCTAAGAGGAGAATAAATTACATACAGGCTCACACACGTTTCTAATCTCCCCTGTTTGAACATTTAAACAAATACTATCCTGACCAGATAAAGCACATCTGTGGAATACTTGCAGCCTTTCAGCAAGAGAAGACATCCTATAAATTTGAGATATAACCTCCATGGAAAGGAGTGGCTCTGTTGTGACTGTTTGCTAGCCTCAACCCTACTGACTCTTTCAAAACCCATGTTCTTCTACTTCAATTGTCCCTTCCTGCAGCAGTCAAGAGATGCTTGAAGTTGGCTGCAGAAATGACTCCAAAATGTCAGTGGCTTGAAACGGAAAAGATTTATTTCTTGCCCACAGTACTCGTCCATTGGCCACGAAGTTGAGACTGACCTTAACATCCTCACTCATGAAGCCTGATGGGAACTCAGACTTTATTCTCTGACAGGTTTTAATCTCTGCAAACAAACAAGTGAAAGATATACATACACACAACTTAAACATCAAATAATCCTGCAGAAACTTAAGACTCAAAAAAGTAGTAGTCCTGTGCCTCACCTCTACACACCATATTCTGACTCTCAGAGGCCACCATTTTCAGGTGGTAACAAATGCTGTGGGAGAAATAAGGGCATCAGAGGGGTTAAGGAGTGCCCTGCTGTGGGGGCATTTCAGTTTTAAGTAGAACATTGAGAAAGTGACATTTGAGAAAAGGATGCAGGGATTGATTTACATGGATACCTAGCAGGTAAGCCGTCTAGGTAGAGAAATGGCAAAGTGCAGGGGTGGGAGTGTTCTGGGCTGCTCTGGATCAGTGCTCCTCGCAGAGGGGTAGAGGAATCCCCTCAGGGTCTTGATGAAATGCATACTCTCAGTGGGGTGTGAGCAGGACCTGAGACTCTGCATGTCTAATGAGCTCCCAATTGATGCTAATGCTGCTGGTCTATGGACCACATTTTGAGAAGTAAGGTCCTAGAAAAAGTTAGAAAGTCAATGGGGCTGGAGCCGAATGAGAGAAATGGGCAAGTAGAATGAACCAGTGACAGAAAGGTAATGGGGGCCAGATCATGCCATGCTTATAGGCCACTGTAAGGACTTGAGCTCATATTGCAAGTGACACAGAAGCAGAAAAGTGACTTGATCTGGCTTATGTTTTGGAATAGATTCTAGGAGGGCAAAGGCTATTAGGAACTAATCCAGGTGAGAGATGGTGATGCTCTGGACTAGGAGGAGGTGGCGGGATGGGAGAAGTGGTGAGACCCAGCAGGCTTTCTGACAGGTTGGTTGGAGGTGGGAAAGAGGAGTTGCTTGAGCACCTGGAAGGGTGGAGTTGCCATTTCTGCCCCATCTCTCACATCTATTTTCTCTCTCCAGTTCCACTGCCACTTCTCCAGGTTAGGCCCCATCAGTTCACATTACTGTCATTGCCTTTGAACAGATACCATAAACATATTTTTCTTGAGAAATGGTTTTGTTCAGTCCCAACCTTTGTGAAGAACTTGTGATTGCTCACAACATCCATGGTTTAGCAGGGAGGAGCCTTCATGAACCGGCCCTTCTCCATGCTTTTAGGTCATCACTCTGCTTCATGAACTAATTGCATACTCTCAATTCTAGCCCAGGGCTTCACTACCATCTCCCCATCATGATGCATAGAGGATGCTGAGCTGTGAGATATTTGCAAACATTGGCACAATCACCCTAAGGCCACCATGTTGTCTCCCAGTCAAATGCTTTAAGCCATTTTGGTTGTGTATACTTTTTTTTTAAAAAAGATTTCATTCTGTTGGAGTGATGTGGTGTGACCTCCTGGGCTGAAGTGCTCCTCCCACATCAGCCTCCTGAGCAGCTGGGACTACAGGCATGCACTACCATGCCTGGCTAATTTAAAAAAGTTTTTTTTTTTAAATAGAGATGAGGTCTCACCATGTTGCCTAGGCTGGTCTGGAACTCTTGGCCTCTAGCAATCCTCCCACTTCAGCCTCCCAGACTGCTGGGATTACAGGTGTGAGCCACCATGCCTGGCCTGGATGCATATACTTTGAGAAATCAAACCATTTGCAAACTTTCCTTACTGTTCTTTTATCATTATATCAAATTACTTACATCTGTGCTACTCAATGTGGCGTCTATAGACCAGCAGCATCACCTGGAAGATTGATAGAAATACAAGTTCCTGGACCCCACCCCAGACCTCCTGAATGAGAGTTTCTGACAGCAGGGTCCAGGAATCTGTTTTAATGAGCTCCTGAGGATATTCTAACACATACTAAAGTTTGAAAAGTAGTGCCTATCACACTTCAAATTGAACATCAGTAGGTCCCCACACCATAGTTGAGAACAGCTGACTTAGCCTAGTGGGTGCAACTCTGACTATGCAAGAATCATCAGGGGAGCTTTAAAAAACAAAAACCAAGCCAGCAATGGTTGGGCCCCCACGACCAGCGATTCTGCTTTAATTGGGCTAGGGTGGGATCCAAGTGATTCTAACAAGCAGCCAGGTCTGAGAACCTCGCAGGCTGGCAGATGGATCTCCGTTCTGTTTCCCACACACAGCCATATTTTCTGCCTCATACTGTTCTCTCTTCCTGGAGTGCTTGTTCATACCATCTCCGTGTTGCCAACTCTATTCATTATGGAAAGCTGAGCCCAGATTCAACTCCTGCACACCTTGGCCCGTGAGCTTCTCCTCCCCTCAGTTCCTGCTGCATCTGAGCTGCACTTTCCTCACTACCCAGATTCTCTGCTACCTTTGTCACATTTGTTACTTTATAAATCTCTTACTACATAAAGTTTGGTGTAATATCCATTTCTGATCTCTTTTATATCTTTGCAGTGACCCAGAAAATGGTGGATGGATGCTTAAAAAATGTTTGTGGTGAAAGAATGGTTCATGTAGCATCAGAGAGAATTCACTTTTTATTGAAACCTCATGGGTGGCTGCTTTGGCACTTGTGGCCGAATGTGACCCTTACATTGTACTCTGTTAAAATTAGTCCTCATTCCATGAAAAACTGTTCCTCAAACTGTGTCCCATACAGTATTTGTGGTCAGCAAATACTAATACTATTCCATAGGACAAATGTTCTTTGACCAGAAAATAAAAACTAAGAAATATTACAAACCACACGATTGCTGCATGTATTAGTCAGGGTTCTCTAGAGGGACAGCACTAATAAGATAGATGTGTATATGAAAAGGAGTTTATTAAGGAGAATTGACTCACACAATCACAAGGTGACATCCCACAACAGGCTGTCTGTAAGCTGAGGAACGAGGAAGCCAGTGATGGATCAGTTTGAGTCCCAAAACCTCAAAAGTAGGGAAGCTGACAGTGCGGCCTTCAGGCTGTGGCCAAAGGCCTGAGAGCCCCTGGCAAACCACTGGTTTAAGTCCAAGAGTCCGAAAGCTGAAGAACTTGGAGTCTGATGTTTGAGGGCAGGAAGCATCCAGTATGGGAGAAAGATGAAGGCTGGAAGACTCAACCAGTCTAGTTCTTTCCTGTTCTTCTGCCTGCTTTTATCCTAGCTGTGCTGGCAGCTGATTAGACGGTGCCCACCCAAATTGAGGGCAAGTCTGCCTCTCCTGGTCCACTGACACAAATGTCAATCTCCCCTTGGCAACACCCTCACAGACATACCCATGAACAATACTTTTTATCCTTCAATCCAATCAAGTTGACACTCACTATTAATCTGCACATCACTCTTCAGGTTTTCCTACCATCCCCTGATCATAGAGATTCGTAGTCTTCTTATTACTTTTCTTTCCACAGAGCAGAGATTCCTATAACATAAAAGTAACCATTTGAAAGCGAACAGTTCAGTGGCATCTAGTATGTTACCATGTTGTGTAACCGCTACCTCTATCTAGTTCCAAAACATTTTTATCACCCCAAAAGGAAGCTATCTACCCACCAGCAGTCATTCCCCATTTCCACCCAACTCCCAGCCCCTGGCAACTACTAATCTGCTTTCTGTCTCTATGGATTTGCTTATTCTGGACATTATTTTATTTACTTTTTGAGCTGGAGTCTTGCTCTGCCACCCAGGCTGGAGTGTAGTGGTGTGATCTTGGCTCACTACAACTTTTACCTCCCAGGTTCAAGTGATTCTCCTGCCTCAGCCTCCTGAGTACCTGCTATTACAAGTTCTCTGCCACCACGCCTGGCTAATTTTTGTATTTTTAGTAGAGATGGGGTTTCACCGTGTTGGCCAGGCTGGTTTTGAACTCCTGACCTCAAGTGATCTGCCCACCTTGGTCTCCCAAAGGGCTGGGATTACAGGTGTGAGCCACCGTGCCCAGCCTGGACATCATTTCATATACATGGAATCATGCAATATGTGGCTTTTTGTGTTTGGCTTCACCCCCAGAGCATAATGTTTTTGAGGCTTCTCAGTTTCTGTTTACAGCTACTTTTTTTTTTTCTACTTATCCCTCATATACTGTTTTTTTCCCCCCCAAAGCTCTACCCTTAGAGCTTTTCCTTTTAACCTTTGTGGTCTCCCTAAATGGCTTACTCTATTTCTGTGGAAATCTAATACTAAAATAGACCCACAATTGCTCCGTGTCTGCTCCTGGCCCAATTTCTCTCCTGGATCCAGAGCTGTGTATTTAAGTGCTCACTGGACCACTCTGGTTCTGTCACCTGCAATTATAGGAAAACCTCCTCTTTGTCTTTTCTCTTCTTGAGTTTGCTACCTCACTCAATAGCGATATTTCCCCCAGTTTCCCAAGTCAGGGGCTCACCTCCCTATCAGGGTAGTAAAAAGTATAGCACAGAGGTAAGTACTTAGAAAGACCTGAAACCTGTTTGAAGATCAGCATATCTGATAAATCTGCAATGTTTGTCTGGTATGTCCATTATATAAAATGGGGACATTAAGATATTTGGAATATTTAAACTGGAAAAGAGAAATCATAGAACCTATTATTTTTAAGGATTTGAAGGCCTACCACATGGATGAGATCTTGTGCTTATGTGTCCACAAGATGGTCCACTATTGCGTATGATATTGAATTGACTAGCCATTAAACCTCCTTTCAACTCTGTGATTCTCAACGTCAGAAGACAAGGACTAATTTTATATCTGTATTAGTTCGTTTTCACGCGACTGACAAAGATATACCCGAGACTGGGCAATTTACAAAAGAAAGAGATTTAAAGTTCCATGTGGCTGGGGAGGTCTTGCAATAATGGCAGAAGGTGAAAGGCCTGTCTCAAATGGCGGCGGACTTGTTAGATCTACTATCACAAGAACAGCAGGGGAAAGACCTGCCTCTATGATTCAATTACCTCCAACTGAGTCCCTCCCACAACACATGGGAATTCAAGATGAGGTTTGGGTGAGGACACAGCCAAACCATATCAATATCTATAGTTACATAGGAGCATGGCAAAGAACTAAATCCTATACTCTAAGCAGTACAATTCTATAAGCTAGCATGTGGAAAAGAACACAAAAGGGGTGCGGTAGATTACTTGCAAAAAAGGCTGCAATAATTTCTCCCATCCCTGTATGCACATCCTCTGGCAATGTGACTCAAAGCTCTTCTTGTCAAGAGGTGGAGTTTATTTTTCCACTCTTTGAATCTGGGCTTGGCCATGTGATCTGCTTTGGGTAATGCGACATCAGCAAATGTGAAGAAAGCAGAGGCTTATACAGTGCTTGCATGCTGTGGCTTGTCCTCTTTTGTTGCTTTTGGGACCCTTGTGAACAAACCCAGGTGAGCTTGCTGGAGACATGTGGCCCAGTCGCTATTATTTTAGCAGATAACCATAAGACAGCCAGCTCCAAACCCAGATATGTAATTGAAGCCATCCTGGACTAAGCAGCCCTTGGCTGACCCATCAGCTGACTGCCGCTACAAGAGTGAGCTCAGGTGAGAGAGGCAGAAGACCCACCTAGATGAGCCTAGCCTAAGTAGCCAACTCCTAGAATGATGAGTTAATAAATGGTTAAATCACTAAGTATGGGGATGAGTTGTTATGTAGCAAAAGCTCACTTACACAAGGGGCAATTTTTCTGATCAAAAGAATCATAGAGGCCAGGTACAGTGGCTCATACCTGCAATCCCAGCACTTTGGGAGGCTGAGGCAGGCAGATCACCTGAGGTCAGGAGTCAGAGACCAACCTAGCCAACATGGCAGAATCCCACCTCTACTAAAAATACAAAAATTAGCTGGGTGTCTTGATGCACGCCTGTAATCCCAGCTACTCGGGAGGCTTGAGGCATGAGAATCTCTTGAACCCCGGAGGCAGAGGTTGCAGTGAGCTGAGATCATGCCACTGCACTCCAGCCTGGGTGACAGAGCGAGATTCTGTGTAAAAAAAAAAAAAAAAAAATCCACGCTTCAGCTAATGTGACCCTAGGTATGTTGCTTATTCTTACCTTTTTTTTCCAGATGGAGTCTTGCGCTGTCACTTTGGCTGGAGTGCAATGGTGCAATCACGGCTCTCTGCAGCTTGACCTCCCAAATTCAGGTGATTGTCCCACCTCAGTCCCCCAAGTAGCTAGGACTCGAAGTATATGCCACCACACCTGGCAAATTAAATAATTTTTTTTCGTACAGAGGGGGTGATATGGTTTGGCTTTGTGTCCCAACGCAAATCTCATCTCAAATTGTAATCCCCACATGTCAAGGGAAGGACCTGGTGGGAGATGATTGGATCATGGGGGCAGTTTCCCCTTTGCTGTTCTTGTGATAGTGAATGGGTTCTCAGGAGATTTGATGATTTAAAAGTATCACTTCCCCATTCGCACGTGCGTGCTCTCTCTCTCTCTTTTGTTCTTGCTCCGACATGGTAAAGAGGGGCATGCTTCCCCTTTGCCTTTACCATGATTGTAAATTTCCTGAGGCGTCCCCAGCAATGTGAAAATGTGAGTCAATTAAACATCTTTTTAAAAATAAATTGCCCTGTCTCAGGTATGTCTTTATAGCAGTGTGAAAACAGACTAATACAGGGGGCCTCACTATGTTGCCCAGACTGGTCTCAAATTCCTGGGCTCAAGAGGTCCACTTGCCTCGACCTCCCAAAATGTTAGAATTCCAGGCATGAGCCATTGCACCTGGCCTCTTATACTTACTTTGAATCAATTTGTTCATCAGAAAATTGGGGCTTATGCTTCATGAGGTGGTTAGGAGAAAACAAAGCAGGTAATGTGTGTAAGTTATTTAGCACTATAACCCACATTACATGCCTCGTAAAGGCTGAATCTTTCACTTTCCCTGCAGACTTGTCAGTCTGGTGTTGCTGTCAGAGTCTACAGCACTCAAAAAAGAAGAAAAACGGCTTTGTAAAGCCTTTTTTTAGAAAGATAAAAATATATCTCCTCCTTTTGAAAAGTGGAACAAGTGTAACTTATATAAACACAACATGCAAAATTGATCAATTTTTGTTTTCATTTTTAAAACCTTTTTATTTTGGAATTATTTTCATATAGAAAAGTTATATAGACAGGGCAGAGTTCCTATATACCCTGACCCAGTTACATTTACTGTTAACATTATATATAACTGTGGTACATGTGTCAAAACCAAGAAATTAACATTGACACGTTACTATTAAATAAAACTACAGGCTGTAGCTAAATTTTACCAGATTTTCCACTAATATCCTTTTTCTGCTCCATTGCATTTAGTTGTCATGTTCCCTTAGTCTCTTCTGTGACAGTTTCTCAGTCTTTCTTTGCCTTTTGTGACCTTGAGGATTTTTTGACTAATACTGGTCAGGTATTTTGTCAAATGTCCCTCAATTTTGGTTTATCTGATATTTTTCTCATGTTTAAATTGGGGTTATGGGTTTTGAGAATCCCACAGAGGTAAAGTTCCCTTCTCATCACATCGTATCATATCAGGTTGTCCATAACATCAGCAGAACTTACCACTGTTGATGTTGACCTTGATCACTTGGATAATACGGTATCTGCCAAGTTCTTATGAAAGCTGTTATTTTCCCCTTTCTGTACTTTTTTTCTTTGGAAGCCTCACTAGTCTAGCCTACATTCAAATGCGGGAGGGAGAGTGAGGCATGATGGCTTACACCTGTAATCTCAGCACTTTGAGAGGCTGAGGCAGGAGGATTGCTTGAGCCCAGGAGTTTGAGATTAACCTGGACGATATAGTGAGGTGCCATCTCTTTAAAAAAATTAGCTGGGCATGGTGACTTATGCCTGTAGTCCCAGCTACTTGGAAGTGTTGAGGTGGTGTAATCGCTTGAGCCCAGGAGATTTAGGCTCCAGTGAGCCAAGATCACACCACTGTACTCCAGTCTGGGCAACAGAGCAAGACCCTGTCTCTAAAAAAGATGGAGATGGAGGGTCAGTCCTACATCTTGGAGGGGTTAGTATCTATATATTTGGAATTATTCTGTAAGGAAGATTTGTCTCTTCTCTCCATGTATTTATTAGTCAATCGTTTATCAGTAGAGACTCAAGTATTTTTATTTCATACTTTGGACTACAATCCAACACCATATTACTTATTTTGTTGCTCAGATTGTCCAGTTTGGCCACTTGGAGCTCCTTTGAGAGTGGCTTCTGTGCCCCTTTGACATGCCGCCATCCTTTTATTTTTGTTTTGAGTATATTAGCTTTGATGTACAACTTGGTTTTCTTCCCCATCTATCCACCGAAATTGCTTTAAGGTCCTTCAGATGACAATGGTTTCTAGATTGTCTACTTTTCTCTCTAGTTTATCAGACCTCTCTGTAACATTTAATACTTTAAATCTTGTTCCTTCAAATTCTATTTTATTTGAAAAATTTACTATGAAATTCTTAAACAAAAACAAAAGTAGAGAGAATAGCTTACTGCATCTCCATGTATCCATCAGTGAGCTTCAGTAATTCTCAACATTTTGCTAATCTGATTTCAACTGCTGCCTTTTCCATGCCCTGTCACTGGAGCACTTTAAAGAAAACCATAGATATCATATCAGCTTAACTCATAATAGTTCAGTGTCTTTAACAGATAAAAACTTAAAAAAAACCCCATAAAACAATTATTATACCTAATGAAGTTAATAAGTCTTTAATATCTTTTAACACTCAGTCCATACTCAAATTTCTCCAATGATCTCAAAGTGTTTTAATAATCAATTTGTCCAAATTAGGATCCATACAGGTTCCACACCATATCCTATAACATCTCCTCGCCCTTGACAGAGTTTTGCTCTGTCACCAGGCTGGAGTGCAGTGGCACAATCTGGGCTCACTGCAACCTCTGCCTCCTGGGTTAAAGCGATTCTCCCACCTCAGCCATTCTGAGTATCTGGGGCTACAGGTGCGTGCCACCACGCCCAGCTAATTTTTGTATTATTAGTAGAGACGGCCAGGCTGGTCTAGAACTCCTGACCTCAGGTGATCCGTCTGCCTTGGCCACCCAAAGTGCTGGGATTACAGGTGTGAGCCACTGTGCCTGGCCAACATCTGTATTTTTAATGCAGACCCTCTATAGTGAGTTCCAAACCCAAATAGCCAGTGAGTGGCAGAGTGTCACTGGATGTTTCTTGAACCCCTCAAATTCACTGTGTTCCAAATGGAATTGATCGTCCTTCCCAAACCTGTTTCTCATTTTTCTCTTTACCTCAGTGACTATGACTTCCATCCCAGACAGACATCTGAGCCATCCTAGGCTGGTTCATCACCTGGCCCAAGTCACCAAACCATGGGATGTCTATTTCTTCAGCGTCTCTGGAATAAGTTCCTTCTTCTCATTGCCTTAGCCTCAGTTCTAAAATTCAGACAAAGAGTGCAAATGCATTATCCAGAAACACACGTTCTCAAGCCCAGCAGCGACTAGACCCTAACCTCATGCTCAGCTCTAGATTCAGCTCAGCTCCTGTGCTTTGAATACATGTACCTTCCACTTCCTGTGAATGTGGTTGTTAGAGCCAGATTTCAGCATGCTGGAGCAGCTAATGGCAGTAAAGTTGGGAGTCAGAATATCCATCACTTGAAATGAACTTGGTTTTGTTGGTTAATTTCTCTGCGCTTCAGTCTCCTCACCTGCAAAATGAGAATAATATTCCTGCAACACAATTCTGATATTCCCAAAGCTCTGAAAACTGGAAGAGTTTTTCTTGTTTTCAAAATCTGTTTGGCAGCACAACCTGACTTGACTTAATGATTTGGTGACAAAACCTGAGCTGGATGGAATCGAGGATGTTTATGGTCTGTATTCATCCTACTTCCAATATTCTTCTCTTTTATAGTCCAGCTATCTTGGTGGGAGGCTACACTAGCCCACTGGGACAAGTTCTAGTATATACTGTTTTATTTTTCAAAAGTAAGAAAATGTCTACGTTCTGAAACACACATAACCTAAGGGTTTTGGAAAACAGGTTTTGTACCTGTAATAGCTACCTCATAGGTTGGTCATAGATGGATTGCTAAAGAAATTCGTATTTGTAAAGCAATTAGAAGAGTGTGAGGCTTACAGTAAGCCCTATTTAAGTGTTTGATAAAGTAAATATTTCCTGTAACATTTAACCCTAGAAAAGAGGTGAAAGATAAACTATTTTGTCAGAACAGAGTTCGATAAATTTAGGGGCCTCCATCAAAGCTGAGTTACTACCATTGCTTTTCTGTTCTAAAGAAATAAACATTAGACAGATAGAAAAACCCCTTTTGAGTGGCGTCAAAACCTCTCCCTACTCAGAATTAACCACTATTCTGAAGTTGGGGTGTGTGTGAATCTTTTCCATGCATGTTTCTAGATTTTAGTACATATATGCATGCATGGTGTGTATTTTTTAGACTTACGGCTAAATGTTTTCATGCTATACCTACACAACCTCCTTTTTCACCTTGACACTACCATTTTCATATGTGTAGTCTACCTCAATTCTCTTAAGGACTCCTGTAGTATGCCATCATGTGAACATGCCACAGTTTACTTACCCAAGTCCTGTAGATGGACACTTAATTTATTTCCAATTATTTGCTATTATGTGGCAGTGCGCATTCTCTTGTGCACCTCCTTGTGCCCACACGGAAGAGTGTCTCTCGGGCATATACCTGACAGTCGAGTTGCTGGGTCATATGTGCCTGTTTTAACTTTACAAGAAAAATGCCACTGTGCTCTTCAACAGGGTGGACCAACCTATACTTCCACAGGAATGTGAGCTCCCATCTCTCTACGTCCTTGCCACATTTGGCATATATATATTTGAGACAGCATCTAGCTCTGTTGCCCAGGCTGTCATGATCTTGGCTCACTGCAACCTCTCCTCCCTGGTTCAAGCAATTCTCCTGCCTTAGCCTCCCAAGTAGCTGGGACTGAAGGTGCATGCTACCACACCTGGCTAATTTTTTCTTGTATTTGTAGTAGACATGGGGTTTTACCATGTTGGCCAGGGTAGTCCTGAGCTCCTGACCTCAAGAAATTCACCTACCTTGGACTCCCAAAGTGCTGGCATTACAGGCATGAACCACCGCGCCCGGCCAGTATTTTTATTCTTTTTAGACATTTTCCTATCTGAAGGGTATGGAATATCACTCTTATTGTAATCACTCCTATTGTAATTAGTGGTTCTCTGGTTACCACTGAGGTTGAACATCTTTTCTGCAATAGGCTTCTAAGTTGTCTGCCTGCCCCCATTGTGTGATATTGTGAGATTATATCTACCTCTATCTCTATCTACCTACCTACCTACCTACCTACCTACCTACCTACCTACCTACCTATAGTATATTTGGTTTCTAACATAGACGCCCTAAAACCCTTGTACAAAGAGACACTAGGAAAGTCTTTTGTTGTGATATTTGGTCTTTGACCCTGGTTCCTGACACAGAGCTCCTAAATGCTTCGGAATTTCCTGGGTGATGGGAGTCTTTTGTTCTAATGAGGTGACTCTTGGTGGGCTCTTGGATAGCTTCAGGATGGGGGCCAGCTGCCAGAGGAACCAACCACATGATTAGAGGGTTGGAATTTTTAGGCCCACCCCCCAACCTTCAGGGAGTGGAGATGGGCTGGTTGAGTTGATCATCAATGGCCAATGACTTAATCAAGCATGACTATGTAATGAAGCCTTCATAAAAACCCCCAAAGAACTGGGTTTGGAGAGCCTCTGGATTGCTGAACATGCGGAGGTTCCTGGAGAGTTGTGTGCTCAGAGAGACATGCAAGCTCTGCACCCCTTTCCACATACCTTGCCCAATATATCTCTTTGCTGTTCATCTGTATCTTTTGTACTATCCTTTATTAAACAGGTAAACACAAGTGAATGTTTCTGAGTTCCGTGAGCCTTCCTAGGAAATTAATTGAACCCAAAGAGGAGGTCATGGAAACGCAATTTATAACTGTTCAGTCAGAAGTATAGGTGACAACCTACTACTTGTGATTGGCATCTGAAGTTGGGGCCAGTCTTGTGGGACTGGACCTTTAACTTGTGGGATCTGATGCTACCTCCAGATAGTGTCAGAAATGAATTATAGGACACCCAGTTGGTGGCCCCTGGAGAAATTGCTTGCTGTGTGGGGAAAAGCCCCCTGAACACCTGGTGTCAGAATTGCTCTGTGTTGTACTGAGTGTGAAAGTAGAGAGAAAGAAGTTTGTTTTATCCATCACACACTGGTGCCTCCAACACAAGTTTCCCTTGGTGGCAAATGTAGCCTTGTTAAAAGACCATGTGATCCTATCAGTGAAAACATCCACAGATTCTTCTGTGACTAGCCAAAGAGCTAGAGACTTTTTTTTGTTTTGAGACAGAGTCTCACTCTGTCATCCAGGCTGGAGTGCAGTGGCACAGTCTCAGTTCACTGCAACCTCCACCTCCAAGGTTCAAGCAATTCTCCTGCCTCAGTCTCCTAAGTAGCTGGGACTACAGGCGTGTGCCACCACACCTGGCTAATTTTAGTATTTTTAGTAAAGTTGGGGTTTGGCCAGGCTGGTCTCAAACTTCTGATCTCAGGCGATCCACCTGCCTCAGCCTTTTAAAGTGCTGGGATTGCAGATGTAAGCCACCGCGCCCGGCCTGAGCTAGACACATTTAATTAGCTCTGCATGCTCAGATACTCTCACATACACAGGGACACAGGGAGAACAGCCATCAAACTGTCACCAACAGACAGAAGCAAAAGTAGGATTTAGAAGAAAAAAGGGAGAAAAGAAATCCTGAGGGAAGAGACTGTGGTTTAACTGTAATGGAAGAAATTCAAATATGTGTTGGATAAAGGAACAAACAAGTCACATGTGCCTTGTATCACAAATTATGAGACACGTAGGAGGAAGGATGGGCTGGCGTGAGGTGTCCAGAAAACAGCGCATCCATTCAGAGAGTTGACAGAGAAACATTTCTCCATATTTGGAAATTTTATACCCAAGACTCCCACTGGCACTTTTCAGCAATTTTTAAAGACAGGGAATAAACGTGTCAACATTTATTGAGTATTTACTGTGTAGCCAGCACTGTTTTACAGGCACTACTCAAAGTGGTTCTCACAATGACCCCACGAGAGAGTTATTAACACTCATTTCAAGGATAAGGAAGGAACCAGAAGCACTGAGAGGTGAAGCCTTAGGTCACAAAACCAGTAGGGGTGACACCAGCACGGTGATTTTTTTTTTTTAGGGGAAGGTCTAAGAGTCCTTTGTGAAGAGAAACATTTCACCCTCAAATGCCTAAGCTCCTGCTGCAATTCCGGGCATTGGTTTATACCTGCATCTTAGTCACAGTTGTTAGTTAGGCATATGAATTTAAAATGAAAGGGAGAAATATTAAAGATTTGAAATTTTAGCTATGCGTCACCTCAAGGGAAAGTTAATTATCATTTTTGTCGGCAACACCTACACACAAATTGTGACTCCAGTAATAAAATGAGAGCTCGGAAAAATAAGCACCTAGGGCTGATGAAAAGAATGCATTTGTCTTAGGGCAGAGGCTGAATGTGAAGCCAACTATTCTTAGAGAGAAACATGTCAATACTAAATCTTTTCACCAGTCTTTGATGGATGTGCTAATCTTCTCAGGTCAACATGGGCTCACCCTGGCAATGTACTGTAATAACTTATTTAAAAGGCAGCTGGCTTTTATAAATGACCTGCTCCATCAGCTTTTAGATTTCATTTTCAGAAATGTATTCCTTTATCAAATCAATATTTGCTGTATATAGTAAGAACTCAACTGTGCATTTGCAACAACAGAGGAGACTGCAGAAGTGACCAGGTTTGGGAATTATTGTTCTTTGCTCTTAATTCTGTATGACATCTAAGCTCTGTAGAGATAATGAGATAACAAGAATAAAAATGGCAGGGAGGTGATTTTCATTCCATGAGAGCTGCAGTTGGCAAACTACCATCAGTAGCCTGAACCTGGCCTGCAGGCTTTTTTTTTGAGATGGAGTCTTGCTCTGTTGCCAGGGTAGAGTGCAGTGGCGTGATCTTGGCTCACTGCAACCTCCGCCTCCCAGGTTCAAGTGATTCCCTGGCCTCAGCCTCCCAAGTAGCTGGAACTAGAGGTACATGCCACCATGCCTGGCCAATTTCTTGTATTTTAGTAGAGACAGGGTTTCACAGTGTTGGCCAGGATGATCTTGATCCCCTGACCTTGTGATCCTTGGCCTCCCAAAGTGCTGGGAACAGGCGTGAGCCACCATGCCTGGCCACCTGTTTTTATAAATAAAGTTTTATTAGAACACAGCCACGCCCATTTGTTTACGTACGGTCTACAGCTGCTTTCACGCTTCAAGGGCAGAGTTGAGTAGTCACAACACTGACCATGTGGCCTGCAATGCCAAAGACATTCACTCTCTGGCCCTTTACAGAATATGCATCCCTTTCCACTAGAGGAAGTGGTATTTATCTCACTATACACTTGGCTCATTTTCAGAGGGGGCTAACAGAGCTAGAATCAGAGAGGACATCTGGTTTTTTAAAGGTATTTGTGTAGTTCAGACAGGTTAAAGACAAGAAAAGGTAAAAAAGCAAAACACCAGGCAGTATCTCCAGGCAAGAACTTTTAACAAATTGACCTGTTACCGACAACGTAAAAAAAACCATCATAATATATACAAAATTATTTTGTCAGGAGAATATTTATCATGATTTATCATGTTGGCAACAGAAGACATCCTGCCGACCTCCAAGTGGCTGGCATAGTTCATCCACCCCGTGACAGGCCCACTGGGACTGTAGTGAACATGTCTGTACCTCAGCACAAAGTCCCCTTTCCCTGAGAAATGTACACAAGGAGAGATGAAGAGCGTGTACCCAAAAGGAAGAGGGAGAGGCTGGGGACCTTGTATCCCGAGCTTAGAACTTCAGGGGGATGACCGGCCAGTACTTGGGCTGCTTTCGGTCACAGTGCTTATCAAAGCTCAACTGCACCGCAGCCTCCATGGCCTGGATCTTGGCAGCGCTGTCCCCATACAAACGCTTCATCTCAGCCTGGCGCCGCTCACCTGGCCTCTCAGTTGGGGCCTCTACCGACCGGGGGATGTTGCAGTACAGGTCGTGGTCAGCGTTCACATAGCTCTCTAGGCGCTTGGCATCCAGCTGCTGCTGCCTCCCTGGGAACAAACATGAACGTGAACATGAACATAAACACATGTGCATGCACTGTAGAAGGAGCCCGGTGAGTGCTGCTGCTGCTGCTGGCCATGCCATCTGCAGCCCGCTAAGTTCCTTCAGCTTTCCCTTTCCAACTGCAAAAGCAGGCCCAGTTGTTCCAGCTGAGATGCTTACCAGATTCTGAGGCAAGACCTGAAGATTACTATCATCTACTTAGTTCTGAAGCTCACTTTTCACCTACCAAGGGGTTACTATACACAGAGAAATGGCAAAGAGTTGAGTGCCTATAGTTCCACCTATCTGGGAGGCTGAGGTGGGAGGATGGCTTGAGCCTGGGAGGCAGCGAATGCAGTGAGTCAAGATCGCACCACTATACTCCAGCCTGGGTGACAAAGTCAGACCCTGACTCAAAAAAAAAAAAAAAAAAAAAGAAAAGAAAAGAAAAGAAAAAAAGAAACAGCGAAGAGCCACAAGGAAACTCATCACTCCAAACTACCAAACCTCTGCAACGAGCCCTGAAAACAAAGGAGAGAAATGAAACCACTTGGGGTTCTCTCTTTTCATCTGCACGGCCCGCCCACCACCTGCCCAGCTCAAAATGGCTGACGGAGCTTGCTTGGTTTCAAGCACTGCTCCAGGCCAGCATGGAAATGAAAAGCTTCCTGGAAAGTCTAGTGTTGCAAGCAGTGCTTACCACCATGAATGAGGTGGTGTGGGGGAACAAAACACTCCTTTGGAAGAGGTATTGATTTTAGGTAACCTGGAAAAGAAAAAGTGATAGCAACCACACTATGCAATGATGATCAATGATTGATGATCCTTCCACAGATTCAAAACACAAATCATACCAAGCAAGGAAAGGTTAAATGAGTCAACACTTGCTGAAGATAAATGGCAAAGGAAGGGCCATTCTACAAATGGAATTAAGGCCTCTGGCTTCTAATCTTCCTGCTATATCAAAAAATCTGCCATAGTGGGTTGGTTTTCTCACTATGGGATTTGATTTTTCACTTCACAGGTTGGCCTACGTTAAACTGCAAGTGGTATTGTTACATACTTCTTTTTTTTTGAGATGGAGTCTCGCTGTGTTGTCCAGGCTGGAGTACAGTGGTACAATCTTGGCTCACAGCAACCTCCACCTCCCGGGTTCAAACGATTCTTCTGCCTCAGCCTCCTGAGTAGTTAGGACTATAGGCGCACACCACCATACACAGCTAACTTTTGTATTTTTTAGTAGACATTGGGTTTCACCATATTGCATAGAATGGTCTCAAACTCCTGACCTTATGATCTGCCCGCCTCGGCCTCCCAAAGTGCTAGGATTATAGGTGTGAGCCACTATGCCCAGCCTGCATACTTTTAATCCTACTAATTTGAATGGATTCTTGTAAAGCTAGAAGTATTTATTCAATTTACTCTACCCCCTGTCTTTTACTATGGCAAGTCCCAATATCATAATTTTTATTCTTATGTAAACTGCAACATAAAAATATCAGTGAGACAATGCTGCATAAGGTAAAATTTAGCCAATTTCCATAGCTCCTGTAAGCGACTCTGTCAAGAGAAAAATAAATCATTCTTCCATTGTTGGTCCTCCCTGCACTAATACCTGGAACAGAACACGGTAGTGAGCTAATCAAGTGTGAATGGAAAGATATTTACAAGGTCATGCATAGTTGCTTGCATAAATCCTACACTTTATAAGCATCACCATGGCATTGGAGGGAAGTTTTATAAGCTTGGAAACATTATTAAAAATGTATGTGGCTGTTGCTGTCTTGGAACATCCGCAGTTTATTTTTACCTAAGGACGTGATATATGAATAAGCCCAATGACTATCAAACACAATAAAAGCTGTGTAACTGTTACCCCACCCATGGAAAAAATATATGATTGACTCACTGGGCAATGCAGAACAAAACCAACATATCAGCCTAACATGCAAATGAATGGAGGCCAGCAAGCATTGGTTTCTAATTTTTGGTTCTTCTGCCAAGTTTGAAACATCAGCATTAAGTTGTTCAGTTCTCACAGGTGTTTAAATTCTATGCCCACTAAACTGAGTTGTGCTGGAGTGGCGTGCGAGTGGATGTGAACCAAACACCAGAGAAAGCACTCGACAACTGCCATGACAGCTTCTTATTTCCACAAGAACTCTGTGTGTTCCTGGCACTCAGGTCAGGGTGAAAGCCCCACTGGGGACTAGGTTCTTCCCGGGGGCATCTCTGTGTTTCTTCTGCCTCTGTCCGGGGATGATTGAACTTGACTTTGAAGGAAAGCTTGGCTTTGTGCTTTTAGAAGGAAGAGCAAGGGTGACCTAGGACACTGGGTTTTGATATGGGCAGTACAGACTGGTGAGATATATTCAGTCTCTAAGTACATATGGGCCTTTCCCATTTGCCTCTTCCTACGAACGTTGAGCAGGCAGTGGGTGGGCTGATGGCACTGCCCAGGCTTTCCAGTAAAGGCAGAATTTGGCTGAAGAATCTCTCATTCAACGGGTACTTTTCTGAAGGCTTGACATTTCCACATTAGCACAACACAGTCCCTCTGCCATCCATGAGCAGCCTTGTACCCATTACCAATCCTCTGCCTCTTTTTTTTTTAATCTGGAGATGACCCCACATGTGGGTTGCTGAGTGCCTTGGAGCCTCTGCATCCAGAGGGCAGAGCTCTCACAGTGAGAGTTCCCAGACCACTGTCACATTACTCTCAAATTTGTTCGAAGACCATATAGTCAGCTTCACTGACAGATCTGGTGACACAATAGATGTTCAACTTCCTGCCTAAATCTGAGTGTTTGAGTATAGAAGTTTGAACAAACACTGGGATCTTAGCTATCCTAAATGTTCTCTGCTGGTAGGATGTTGCGAGTTTAGTCTTTGTACTTTTACGTCTTTCTCTTTTCCTTAAAATTTAAAATGTTGATAACAATTTAAAAAGAGAGATGTGTTCTCTTATTGTTGACATCTGTGAATGAAACACAATGTTAACACAAGGCAACCCCAGTTGAGTTAACGATGCTGGTGCAATTTTCCAAGTTTGTACTCAGTGTGTGCCCATGGGTTGCCATCACATGACTTTAGTTCTTAATAAAGTTCATGTGGTGTAAGAATAAGAGAATAAAAGACATAGCCCTCTGCTTTTGATTCTTGATTTGTTTTCATTCCCATTCAGGCTTCCTCATACATTTTTTTTTTTGAGAAAGGATCTTGCTCTGTCACCCAGGCTGGAGTGCAGTGGTACAATCTTGGCTCACTGCAACCTTCGCCTCCTCGGCTCAAGCGATGGTCCCACTTCGGCTTCCTGAGTAGCTGGGACTACAGGTTCATGCCACCATGTCCAGATAATTTTTGTATTTTGTTTTAGAGACAGGGTTTTGCCATATTGTAGGCAATATTGTAGGCTGGTCTTGAAATCCTGGACTCAGGTGATCCACCCGCCTCAGCCTCCATCCACTTTGTAATTCCAAAGTGCTGGAATTACAGGCATGAGTCACCGTGCCTGGGTCCTCATGAAAATTTAAGATCCAACCCTTGTCCCCTCCTTGCTTCTCAAAAGATTTGGAGGTTTAATGGTTTCTTGCATAGTGAACAGTGGCCCTAAAACACTGAACTAAAGGGCAAGAAGCCTGTCACCTGTGACCTACCCTGTGGGGGGTCATTTATGGTGGAAGGGCACTGTCACCTTTACTTATGGCTGTACCCCCAGCCCTGGGAGGACACAATGTCTGACACAAAGCAGGTGCTCAGGAAATGACTGTCAAATGAATGCTCAAAGGCCATGCATGACTTTTTGTAAACAGCTCTTTTCCTTCCAGATGCTGTTAAAGAACAATGATGACAACCCGGGGACTGAGAAACAGATGCTCAAATCTCACAAGATGCTGGGCAGAACTCCCTTCCCAGTGGGTTCCTCAGAGCCTCCCAGGCAGAGGAGCTTGAGGGGAAGGGAAGAGGGGAGGGGCACCAATGAATTGGGGTCAGACCCTGTTCCCTTACATTTGAGTTGTTTTGCCTCTACTTACACAAGTTTTAAAAAAGTTCCAAGGCTAGACTAAAAGTTGAAGACTAGTCAGTTTAAAACCAAATACCTGCAGAGAGGCTGTGCACTGATGGTCACAGCCAGCATGTGAAAGTACTTCAGCGCGTACTGACTTAGGGGACCAAGTTAACCTCAGAATGGAGTATCAGAGTTTAAAGGCATCCTCTCATTTGTCGTTTATTTATTGCTTCCTTCCTTCCAATGAAAAAAAGGATTCTCAATCACTGGCAGTTTTTCTTGCTGTCAAAATAAGGTGAGGCCTCAGCGAGCCAGATGGAAAATCATCTGACCAAAGCAGAGCAGCACTGACATCACACTTCAGATACCACTGAACAGCTGCCTTGTCATGGAGGGTTTGGTCATTTTTATTGGAAACAGCTGTAGGACTCAATGTTAGCATGCACTTTTATAGGGCATTTCTGCAAGATAATTTGTTTTAATATGAATCAGAAATATCTTTTTTGATTCTATTCCAGCTTCAAAATAGGATTGTAGTGGGTTGAACAGTATCACCCCAAATCCATGTCCACCTGGAACCACAGAATGTGACCTTATTTGGAAATAGGGCTTTGTAGATATAATTAAAGGACCAAGACAACAATATACTGGATTAGCGTAGACCCTACCTTCAATGACAAAGTCCTTGTATAAGAGAAAAGGACACAGGGACACGGGGAAAGGACACGTGAAGATGGAGGCAGAGAATCTTACACAGCAGAAAAACATTCATCCCAGATTCTCCCACACATAGAGCCCAAAGGCAGAATATGTTAGAGGACAAGGCACAGAGGCAGCGAGTGTCAAATAATGTTCTTTTCCCTCATTTTCCTAGGACTAGTGTGTCTTTCTGATTATATTTTCTGCTATGTTGCCAAAATTAATGATTGTACCACAACCGAGAGAAAGCACAAACTTGATGTATGTCATGAATGTGTCATTTCTGGCTTGACAACC